CCTTCCTAAAGTACAACAGCTTTTTTATGTCAACATTAGCACTGCTAGATGCTCAAGTACGTTTCATTGACCGCTGTGAGTGAGTTCTCTATTCTCCTATATTGCAGTATATTCATCAGTCCTGTGGACGACGTTAGCTCAGCTATTACAGCGCTGGGTTATGCTGCTGATAGCCCTGGTTCAATTCACTAACTGGGCGTTCTTAAACTTTGTTTGGGCAGTTTTTGTTTTTAGTACGAGTTTTACGGCACTTGCAACACAATAAGGTCATTCATGAGTGCCGAAGATTAGGGGCGTTTAAAGGAAACACAAAAAAGGGACTTTGGAGAGACCGGAAAAAAAAATTTTTTAATGGACACTGTTTTATGGAATATTTTCTCCGTCGTTGATCCAAAGAGGATTCTCGATTTTGTAAAAGCCTTTGCTCTTTGCGGCAAACTCTAAATAATCATACTTTTACGATGCATTTTTGGATACGTCAACTTCAACCACCCGACTTTCAAAGCAAAATCAAGCCGTGCTACGACCTAACGTGAAAACAACCAACCTAGGTCCCTCGCGCTCAAATGACCATATGGCGAGCGCCGTAAAGCTTTTAGCAGACTAAAACTAATTGTCCAAGCAGACAGACGGAGATATTCGATTGAATAACTTACTCAGACGGGAATCATGGCCACGTCACCTGCGCGTGAACGTGAAGAGCTTAACCTTCATACCACCTAGGCCGGTTCTCATGGTGCGCGGAGCTAGGAAGCAATTATGCTTCACTTCATCGCCACAGGCAGGGGGATTAACTGTCGAAGTCAAAGACCGTATGACTGAGGGAGATTGAATACACATAATCAGTCTTCTTGACTTCCGTAGCTCTAAAAGCGCCGCCATTTTGTTCAGTCAGATGTCGTACCCCCTGGGTGGCTCCTCCAAAGTCAGTGGTTGTGAACGGTAATGTCCAAGAGAGAGGAAATTAGACCTAAGGCCTCATTCATGACAGGAAGGAAATGTCAGGAAAGAAAGTGGGAGAAAATTGCAAAAATAATGACAATTATTTCTAGAAGAAATATTGCGGGCCCGATACTAGAAAGGTTCATATAGCCATAATCAAGGAGTTTGTGACTGATGTCGATACAGGCTGTCTGTGAGCTCAGTTGGTGTCATGCTTGGCTATGCTGTCAATGACTCTGGTTCTTTGAACTCCTAACGAGTCGTTCTTGAGTCGGGTTGTTTGGGGAGTTTCCAGGGCTCTGAACCTAATATTTCCATTTTAATTGAAAAGTGGAAGTTCGAGGGTCCTTCTTCTTTATTAACTTTACAGTGTTGAGAAAGAGGCATTAAGCCTATATAAAGAACGTATGTTAATAAATGTATTACTGAAGTCAACGGGATACTTTATTTTCTTTTCAGTGATACTTTGTTAAAATACATTTCAACCCTGCAAGGTTATTTAGGAAGCGTGATCTTCAAGTTTAACTTCCGATTTTCAACTAATTTTGCCTCTATCCTAATTATCCTCATCTTCCACCTTCTTATTTAAAAACTGTATACCTAAGTGTTGTAGTTGTAGTTGCCGCTGCCCTTAATGTTACAGCGAGGTCGACTATTTCAGTCCTAATCCTTAGTTGTTTGATTTTATCCCGTGAATCACGTGATGGGATTGATGTCGATGATTGGCTTAGCTTGCTCAGGCGCCATGAGCGTAATCAACGCTGCCGCTAGCCCTTCACACCTCTGTGCTTTCTAAAGGTGCCGAAGGGTGCGTGGGGTCGATGCCAATTTGTTCAAGCACTTGATTATATTCATGAGGTATTCGGCTCGTGATTGTCTCTCCATCTCTCTTTTCTTTTATCATTGTAGCTCTCTTTCTCCCCTTCTCTATCTCTCTCGATGCCTTTCTCTCTCTCTCTCTCTCTCTCTCTCTCCCTCTCTCTCTCACTCCCTGTCTTTCTCTCTCTCACTCTCTTTATCACACACATACACACATACACACATCTTGGCCAGAAATGAAGTTCCTAGGTTCCTTTTTTGTCTTTTCGTAATGCGTCTATCTCATTTCATTGTGTCTACACTTGTATGACGTTCATTATTATGTCACCTCATACATGTTGTCTTAACACCTTGCTTTATCTAGCGCAACTTGACCGAGTACCTATGTCAATGTTTGCTTCTCTGCATCTTTAAACATTTTTAACACAATAAAAACTACCGACTAACTGTGTTTTGAAAAGAGGTGTGATATTGACCTTTCAGTTGCTCGGTCACAATTCCAATTGAGACATTTGTTTTTAACGTATCTTTGAGTTTGTTTGTTTATTTAAGTAAATAAAAACACTTCGAGACAATGATGGCCATTTAATGCTTGGAAAAAGTTAGACAGACAGACAGACATAAAAAAGAGGGAAGTTGAAGAAATGGGACCCATTAGCAACGCCCTCCAACCACCTGCACTTTTGTTTTAAGAACTATCATAAGAATTCAAAACGACAACAACAACAACAACAACAGCAACAACAACAAAATCAGACGCCAGTAGTTCTCATTTACCTTTTTAAAAAAGGTTCATTTTTCTTGATTGAAAGTCTCAATAAGCACCATCACACTTTTCCACTGATATACTGGTTTGTGCTGTTTTAAGTTCATTTTAGTTCAGTTTAGTGGATTCGAGACACATGAATGATTTCTGCAAGTAGCCCAACAGTCAGTTAGAAATGTTGTACATTTTAAAGTCTAATGTTCATTCCGAATGATCCAAAGTTAGATCGCAACAAGACATGCAATATAGTAAAAAATATTTATTCTTCTTCTGTCCTCTTTTCACACCCTACCCATTTTTAAAACCCCCAAATCTGCTGCAAGCGCTGCCCAGTAGCTACCAGTAGTTGATATTACTTCTTTAACCTCGGTGCAGCAAAAGTTTCGTACATAACCACACGTCAGATATTGCAAACAACAAACAAACCGGAAGTGATAGGGTAAAAGACCATTTTTCTTCTCTCTTTTTCCTCCCACACCTCCTTTAAAAAAAAAAAAGAAAAGCTATACTCTCTCTTCAAAACATCTCGGTGAGCGTCCAGTGGCTGCCAAATGAAAGTACTTCGACCCTCGTAATAGTTATTTGGCGCACATTCATACTTCAGACATCACAAAAAGTAATACACCCTTACACCTTCTTTTTTTTTATTTCAAACGTACTGACGATGTACCTCCTTAGGAGCATATCAAGGAAGTCAAGATCAGAAAGGAGGTAGGAAAGTAGTACTTGGACAATCAGCTTCCTCTGTGCCTACCGCCCAAGAAAAACTGTACCATGCACACTGCCGTAGATCATCTGTCGAGACGCTAAAGTCAATCACAAAGAAGCGTGAAAAAAGAGGTGTGTTAGAGTGAGGGG